CCCCAAAACCCCAAAACCCCAAAACCCCTTTTAGAGATCTAGAGATTGAAAATGGCTGAAAGGTGAATTATTAGATGGAGAAATGGATTTTAAGGGATTTTAAGGGGAAATTGGGGAGTTAGGGGAGAGGTGGGGGAGGTGGAGTAAGGGGGTTTGGGGAGGTTTATGGGTAGGGGATGTGGGGTTTAGGTGGGGGTTGGGGGGTGATAGGTCTGTTTGGAATTAAGGGAAAACGGTGGATTGTGTAGTGGTTTTGGATTATTTTTTGGGGGGATTTTGAAGAGAGTAGTCGGAATAAATGAACTGGCATTTTTTGATAAACTAATGCTTAGGGATTGGTTTATTTATTTGTATGGGATGAATTATGACACTAATTGGGATACAAAGTTCTCTTTTTAACAGCAAATTAGTAGATAGCTACTTTATTTTTTAAAGAATATTTTTCATAATCCCTTGCTTCAAATGTGTGATGACTAATTTTTCATTCTTTGATACAATATGAAAATCCCTTATGAGTCCTCATTTCGTTGCTTAAAACAATATTCCACCATATAAACTCGTGAAGATAAAATTCACTGATGCTTTCCTTTCAATTTTCGGTTCTGATATTAAGCAAATGTTCATAACTTCCTGAAAAATAGGTGATTATTATTTTCAACTTTTTGGCGAAAGAATACTCAAGCTCTCTTCTAATTTTTTGGCATCTTGGAATAAAAAGCTTTATTTGTGTTCTTAAAGCATTCATATAAGTATTATAACCTTGCAAGCTCCAGGCCGTAGTTTTAAGAGAGGGATGAAAGCAAGCATTTTGCATACCAAATTTCTTAGCCCAAGATATTTTAATCTGAAATAGGATTTTTAACTCGGAACTCATAAAAAGGCTCAAATTCAGCCAGATAAATGGTATAATTTGTAAAACAATTGGCAGTCTTTTAAAGAAAATAGCAAGTCTTATAATTTATGAAATTTTTCAATCTTTTTACTTCTAATGCTCATCTTGGTGAGTAATCAAAATCTACCATTCTTGCTGGTCTAGAAGAATACTACCAAGACGGATTTTTCAAAAGAGATTTTGAAAATTCAAAAGATTGTAATAAATCTTCTACAATTTCATTATGATGTCAATGCCAGATTTTTAATAAAAAGTGTTGGTTTATAATAGCAAAAATAAAAATTAAGGTCATAAAACTTCATTCTGGTATTATTGTTATTATCAAGAATAAGATTTTTCATACAAGTATAAGTTCTAAATTCGATTCTTATACTTCAAAAATATTCAAAATTAGCTAAATATCTCTCTTTACTTCAGTATAGCCTTTTTGCGAAATCTATTATCACTAAACTTGTTCAAAACTATGAATTTACAGGGGTCAGTAATTCATAACTCGATCAATTCGCAGTTCAAAAAAGTTATAACCTAATCCAAAAGTTGCCCACTCATAAACCCAAGAAGAAATTCTGAAGAAATGATTTTAAGATTGAATATTTTTTTAGAAATTATCTATTTTTCTTTTAGATGGGTAAGCTTATGCTTCCCCAAATTTCCTCTCTGAGTGAAGCTTTTCCCACATTGTTCACACTCAAACGGTCTGATGCCATAATGCATCCTGCAGTGGTCTAGAAGGTTCCAAGCACGGTCAAACCTCATATCACAGTTGCCATTAAATTTGCAGATAAACTCGAAGGCCTTCTTCTTAGTTACTTCAGTTCTCTTCTCAACTATCTCGTATCTAAAAGGCTGTAGCTCATTCATGAACTTAACATTGTTCTTCTTGAACACGTAATTGGCCAAAGAAGCTTCATCCTCGGAGAGGCCACAAGTGCAATAAATCCCACTGCATTTCTTCCTTCTGGTTCTTTCCTTCTTGGCTGATGATTTTTTGGATTTATCGGTTTGGAGCTGATTCTTTGGTGGAGATTGGGGAAATTGGAAGCTGGGAGGGAAAAATACTTGGGGAGTTGGGGCGGCAGGAGTAGTCAAGTAAGGGGAACAGTATGATAAAGACTGAGGCACGAGGTGGCTAGCATTTGATTGAGTGTTTATTGATGTATTTTCATGCAGAGAGGTTGGATTTATTCTTTTATTGTATGAGTTCGATAAAGAGGGTACATTATTCTTCAAATTCTGAACTTCATCAAACCGAATTGTAAAAGGAGAAGGAGTAGCTGGAGTAATCATCCTCTTTCAAAGCGAATTCAGCTTAAGATCAATCTGCCTCTGATCCAAATAATTACTTCCATAAACACCAACAGCCTCTTGCCTATATTCCCCCTCTTCAAAATGACCCACTACATCACTTTCATATTTAAATAGCATTATCACCAAACTATTCTAAAATAATAATACTATCCATTCTCAACTCTAAATACCTTCTCTGGGGTTTTGGGGTTTTGGGGTTTTGGGG